CTCCGGTGATCCCAGATCTCTTTCCCATGCAGCAATATAGGGTAGATTGACTTGGGAAGTGTGGGTGGTCAATGCTGTGTAGTTGGCGGAGATTTGGCCTGGTTGCAGGGGGGCCGCTAGGCATTATTTTTGGAATGCTGTCAGCGGTGATGTACCTGCTTGTTTGATTAGTGGTTGCTGCGCTAGGTCTCGGAGTTGGATATAGCAAAAGTGATCAGCGGTGGTCAAGGCTCCCGCGTTTGGGAGTTCGTTGTATTTAAAGATCTCACCTTGTTGGTACAGGTGGCCGAGTCGTGAGATGTCATGGTGGTCAAACGCTAGGAAATGCCTTGCTGTCATTCCGGGAGGAGGGGGATAACTTTTGATGCCGAAAAAGCTTTTGACCAGGTTAATTGGCACTTTTTGGATGAGGATCTGGAAGCTTTCAGCATCGAGGGCACATTTAGGAAGAGTGTTATGCTTTTGTACACTTGCCCCACAGCCAGGATTGCGGGATATATACTGTTGTCAGAGTGGTTTAAAATTAGAAATGGAACGAGGCAGGGTTGTCCTCTCGCTCCTCTCTTTTATATCATGTCGATGGAACCGTTAGCTAACCAGATTAGACAAGACAAAGAAATCCAGGGCATTACAATCGGAACGTAAACTTTCCTTGTATGCGGACAATGTCCTTTTAACTCTAGCCAATCCGAAATTCTCTATCTCCAAAGCTATCCAATTGATCGACGAATATGGTCGTCTTTCAAATTTTAAACTAAACTTTAATAAAACTCAAATACTATTGAATAATGTATCTTTTGTGGATCTTGAGTATATTAAATCATGATTTAAATTTGACTGGCACTTCAAATATATAGATTATATGGGGATTAAACTATATGAATTTAGACAATATCAGAAAAGAAAATTATAATCTTAAACTTTGCGATCTCAGAAATACTTTAGTAAAGTGTAAAGGGATGGAACTATTTTGGATGGGCAGAGCGGAAGTGGTAAAATCCTATTTGCTCCCTAAAATTCTATACTTGTTTAAAAACATACCTCTTAGAATTAATAATTTAATACTTAATGAAATCAAATTAATGATTAATACATTTATTTGGCAGGAGAAGAAATCTAGAATTTCCTCAGATACTTTATATAGGGATTTTAAAATGGGTGGGTTATCATTTCCTAACATATTTTCTTTGTATAAAAACAATATGTTTGCGCATGCTATCGCCTGGGACAATTTGTCGACCTCTAGACCCATTTGGCTGGAGATTGAAAATTAAGATTTAGGGAAACGAGAACCTCTCTGTCTACTCTGATCCAATATAGACCCTAAGGAGAAAGGAAGTAGAACTTTCTCCATTCATAACCCGATAATTAAAGATATTTACACAACTTTTTATAATTTAAGGATTACAGTGCTGGGTTTACGAAATTCCCTCTTGCATAATATGCCATTAGAAAATAATGAACTAGATATAGGTGACATTAGTTTGTTAAGGTGGAGAGAAAAGAGCATCAAAACCCTAAAAGATCTAGCACCAGAGGGGTCCTTGTTATCTTTGAATTTGCTCCAGACGAGAGTTGACTTATCGTCCAGAGACGTTTTCAGCTATGTTAGATTGAAACATTTCATTAAAAAAAACAAAAAAAAGTATTGTAACGGATAACCTTGTAATCAATTTTTTTGATAACATCACAAACATAAGATCACCTCTAGGGTTTCCAACTTTTTCACCACTCCAACCACAAGAAATAAATTCTCCATGGATTAAATGGGAAAAGGAGATAGATGTTGAATTGCAATATGAAGAATGGTTGAAAGGTTTGATGATTGTTAGGAAGATTGTTCACAGTATGACTTTAACAGAAACTCAATAACAAAATAACTTTACGCTGGTACCTAGTTCCAGTAAGACTGCACAAACGTTTACTCCAATACATCCCAAATGTGTTGGAGATGCAAAACAAATGTGGGTTCCTTCTTACATATCTGGTGGGGCTGTGCTGAGCTAAAAAAAAACTATAAAGTCCTTACAGAATTTTCTTAAGTCTCTACTGGGAATCAACTTTGATCTAATTCCTCAGATCTTTCTTTTTAATATAGTGTTACCTGGAAATCATACTCAGAACTGTCTAATGGCTCACATAATGTTAGCAGTTAAAATTTGTATTGCATGTAAATGGAAATCTAAGGGTGGTTTAAGTTGGACAGAGACCTCTTTTTATTTAGACCAATCTCATGTTAAATATCTGAAGCTTTTTGCTCCCTGGAAACATTTCAAGGAGAAAATTGCGAGCTTATTCTAGATGGGAAAATTATGTTGTCCCCTCTGACAAGGACCTTGGATGATTTGCTGAATGTATGTGGTTCTGATGTAGTATCGTGTTTCATGTAAATCTGGTTAATGGTTTGTACTTTGCCAATTATAAAGAGACGTTAACCTGTAGATACATCTTAAGAGAAGGGGAAAAAGGAAGGGAAAAAGAGAAAAAAGAAAAAAAAAAACTTTTTTCGAGATCTCCAACTTGTAAAATATCTGAAGCTTTGGGCCCCTCGGAAACATTTTTAGAAAGAACAATAAGGGTTTGGCTTAGACAGGAATTTACATCAACTCCCCCCTTACCCCCTTTCATGGATCTTGTATGTATGAGGAGTTACTGGTGGTTTTGTGTTGTTTGACTTTTTGAAAAAAAAATCTACACAACTATTTACAAAATTATAAAGGTATGTTGAATTTACACTTAAAAACACACGAGGAAAAGTCTTTTAGTCATTTGTCCAAAAACCTTTATTTACTGAAATTCTGTATTTCATTCTTAAAGGCATGTAAATGCACATCTTTTATCTGTTACTTTATGTATCTATATTATTTGTATCTAATTGATTGCTTGTAATTTCAAATATTTTAAAAATAAAAAAGAATATATATTTAAAAAAAAAAAAACATGATGCACTCGTGCTGTGCTGCCCGGGGACAGTTCCTTGGTGTCCCCAGATGCGGGACACCAGAGAACTGAAGTGGAACGGTGGGACAGCATTCCCAAAATCTGAGCTATCCCGCCAAACGCGGGACAGTTGGGGGGCATGCAGTACAGATAAAAATGTTTGCAGAATGAAAGTGTTCTTATATTTTAGCATTGCCAACATTCAAAAGCACACATTCAGAAAGTGAAAGGAGCAACATCAATTTGTGAAATTCCATAGGTAAACATATTTGAAATGTTTGATATATTTGATGTTTACATATGTCTCAGACTGTGTGGAAACTTCTTTGGGCTGTTCAATTTATGGTTATCTACTTCATGAAGCGTCCTAAAATAGGGCTCTTCGTACAAACAGAAAATAAATCATTGCAGTAGTACTTGCAGACTACTGAATTTAAACAGGATGCAACTCATCATGTATGATAAGAAAACGTCTTTAAGACATCCAAGGTATGAGCTATTGAGCATCATTAAAAGGACACAATAATAACCAGAACCACTGCAGTATAATGTAGTCTGTCCCTGCAGTTCTAGTACTGTAAATGCTGCCTTTTTTGAGAAAAGGTAGTGTTTACATTACTGACTAGTAACATCTCTAGGTGCAGTCACTCAGGTGGCCACTAGGGGAGCTTCCTATATCAGTGCTAGGCTGTGTGTTGCACTACGTACAGCGTCTCGACGTTCTGCACGAAGATGTTGAATACTCCCTATAGAGATTCATTGATTCAATTCATCTCTATGAGAAGATGCTGACTTGTCATAGCCATGTGCAATACCTACCAATGCTTTCCCATTGATGATCTCAGCCATAGAGGCATGGCCATCTGCAAGGAGACCAGCGCAGCGGTGGAGAAAAGGTAGTAAACTCATATTATTTGTTCACTTTGAGGGAGGCCGGAGACCCCAATAGGTAGTCTAAAACCATAGTGTTCCTTTGAAGTAGCCATAATTTCTGATAATTTGTGTCCAATCAGATGCTTGTGAATACAATACAAGTGGCAATTGTTGCAATCTCCATACTCATAGTAGTACTCATAGTGTTCCCACTTTGTGATTACTGTAAGAGCTATATTGGGGTTATGTAATAATCAACATAATCGTATGGGGAATCATACAGGCACTCATATAAAACACAATACAATATTTATAAAGGAGTGGGGAAAACTATCTCCCCTACCTGTATAAACCACAATATACAAATCTACCTGAATATGCAAATTACCAAGCCTTGCTATTCAGGTAGTGCACATAACTGTTGCAACCAACAGGTGGCACTGCACAAAACTATTGCTCATTTACAACCAGCAGGTGGCACTGCACAGGCCCCACAACCAGACAAGAAATTCCACAGGGCATTCCCGAAACAACATTACATTACACACCCTGCACCTATAATGGGCACAATGTGATTAAAACATAAAGCCACTGATTACACTGAATTCTGTTTTATATACTGTAGCCTTCACATACTGCATAACACTAAAGGACTATTTAAATGTATGTCTCCCTTTTTATTTTATAAAGATATCAGGAGACAGATTTGCAACCCTTTGAGATCCAGATGTTTGAACACCAGCTGGCAATGGGGTTAAATTAAATTAAATCTGAAACCATTTTAATATATTATGTCCCCTCTGCAATTTAAGGGTTAATGCTTAGTATATTGTAGCTGTTCACACAGCGGTTCCCAAACTGTGCCTCCCTCTCCCCTGCCGGCTCTGCAGGACCGGAGGGGAGATCAGAGATCTCCCTCTCAGGTCCGCTAGCAATTTTCTGACAGCCGAGAGGGAGAGAGGACCCTGCAGCTCCGCCGGGTTCTCCTCTCGCAAGCTCAGAGCATGGCAGAGGTTACCACGGCAACGCTCCGAGTCTCGCAAGAGTGAACTCTTGCAACTCCTGAGGCTGCTAGAGTTCACAGTTACCACCAGGGATTGCATGAAATGTCCCCCCCCCCCTTTAAAAAAAAAAAAATATATATATATATATATATATATATTAATTTGTTCTCCTACACCCACAGACCCCACACCACACAATAGCTCCCCAATACATACACACACTGCCCCCATATACACACTGCCCCCATACACACACTGTACCACCCTACACACACTGTACCCCTCACACAACCTGTAACCCTCACACACACACACTGTACCCCTCATGCACAAACTGCCCCACAAACACACACACTGCACCCCTCACACACAAACTACATCCTTCACAAACACAATACACCTCTGTACACACACACTGCACCCCTCACACACATGCACACTGCACCCCTGTACACACGAACACGCACACTGAACCCCTGTACCCAGTGGTGTATCCTGGTTTTGTGCTGCCCTAGGCAGGACAAAACTCAGGCGCCCCCCACCCCCCGCGCCACCCCCACCCAACCCTTCCCCCCGCCCCACCTTCTAAATACACACACACACACAGTCAGACACATACACAAACACACACAGTCAGACACATACACAAACACACACACACACAGTCAGACACATACACAGACACAGTCAGACACAAACACACACACACACACAGTCAGACACACACACACATACACAGTCAGACACAAACACACACACACACAGTCAGACACAAACACACACACAGTCAGACACACACAGTCAGACACAAACACACACACAAACACACACAGTCACATACACACACACAGTCAGACACAAACACACACACACACACACACAGTCAGACACATACACAGACACACACAGTCAGACACATACACAGACACAAACACACACACATACAGTCAGACACATACACAGACACAAACACAGACACAAACACACACTCACAAACACACACAGTCAGACACAAACACACACACACATTAACTTTTTTTTTTATTTAAATCCCCCCCCAACCTCCTTACCTTTGGGAGTGCTGGGGGGGAGGGGTCTCTCTCCCTGGTGGTCCAGTGGCTGCAGGGCGGGCGGCACTGGCAGGGCGGGCGGGCGGCTGGCGAGGGAGCACTTCCCATGAGCTGACTGCTCAGCTCCCTCGCGCGTCGGCTGCAGAGTGAGGCTGGGAACCGGAAGATGACGCCATCTTCCGGCTCCCAGCCTCACTTTGCGGTGCGCGAGGGAGCTGAGCAGTCAGCTCATGGGAAGTGAGCTCCCTCGCCGGCCGCCCGGGATGTCAGTTAGCCGCAAGGCTAACAAGGCATCTGCCCTGGGCATTTGGGGGGCGGCGTTTTTTGCCGCCCCCTGAAAAATGCCGCCCAAGGCAAATGCCTTGTTTGCCTCGCGGCTAATACATCCCTGCCTGTACCCACACGCACACCTCACCCCTCACACAAACACACACACACACACACACACACTACAGACCCTATCCCGGCAGACCCCAGGTAAGTTGTCAAACTGTTCTTAAACAGTTTGTCTACTTACCCTGGGAGGGCACTAGGGCACCATAACCACTACAACGTAATGTAGTGGTTATTGTGCCTGGATTGTTTCTTTAAATAATCTACCAGTGCCACTGCCAAGATTAGGGGCCCAGTATATGCCGCAGCGCTGTACATATATACAACCTAGAAAATTGTATTGACTTGGGGTGCCTCGAAAAATATTGAAATATTAAGGGCGCCTTGAACCTAAAAAGTTTGGGAACCACTGTGTTAACAAAACAAATGTGCACAGAGGCTCTCAAGACTCTCAATCCTCAGTCAGTGCTTTTATATGGAATATGTTCTCTTTCAAGCCACTTTCTGATTATAAAAGCTAACATATTGAGAGAAAGTGTGTGATCTA